CTAATGTTCTTTATCTTTTTCCAGATTCCATCTAAGATCCCACATTACAGCTGAAATGTCTCTTTACCTCCTCTGCTCTGTGACAGTTTCCCAGACTTTCTTTGTTTTTGATGACCCTGACAGTTTTGAGGGATACTAGTCAGGTATTTTGTAGAATGTACTTCAACTTGGATTTGTTTAATGCTTTTTTCATGGTTAGACTGAGGTCATGAGTTTTAGAAGGAAGATCACAGAGATGAAGTGCCTTCTCATCACATGGCATCAAAGGTACATGCTAGCAACACAACTTAACACTGCTGATAGTAACCTTGATCACCTGAGCAAAGACAAGGTGAGAACCTAGGCTGGCTGCTGCTACTGCCTGGCCTGGGGCCACTTAGCAAGAGGTACAGGGGTCTGGAGTCTTACTGAGGCCAGCTGTTGCTTGTTTGATGGGATTTAGGAAGTTGTGAAGTATGAGCCAAGACCAGCCATTCATATGGAAAAGTCTCTGTTAACAGCTTGAGTAGGCCTGTAAGCTTAGTAAGATGGAGTCTCAGGGGATCTCCAGGGCAGGCCAAACAGTGTTAGCCAGGTTGATGGAGTCTTAGATATGGCACCTATCTGCCGGCTCTGTTTGGGGAGAGTTCAGAAAAGGCACAATGGCCTCTGCCCACCTTTCTGTCAGGGAGAAAGCTATCCTGCAGGTCCCATCTTAATGCCAATTACTTCAGTTCCTCCCTGCACACCACTGGTGTCTTTCAAGCTGCCACCCTGGTTCTGGAGCTCAGGAAGAATGAATCTGAGTAAGTCCATGTGTGGGTTCTTTAAGGGGAACTGCTTCGGACTCCAGAAGTTTCTTTTACCAACTTAATCCCTGTGGGTTTTTGCATCCAGAATTTATTGGGACTTATCTTCCTGGTACTGAAATCCTGGGCTGGCGAGCCTCCTGTGGGGCTGGGACTCATTACTTCTGAGATATCCCTCCTGAATTTTTATCAACCACACATAGATGTGGGACCAGACTGTCCCATGCCTCCCCTCCACTTCCTAACAGTCTACATGGACATGGTTTCTTTAATTCCATAGTTGTCAGACTTCCATTCAACTCAATTTCTGATGGTTCTGAGATATGGTTGTCCTATATTTTAGTTGTAATTTTGATTGGTTGTGTGAGGCAGCAAGCTGTGTTTACCTATGCCGCCATCTTGACCAGAAGTCTCCCTACAGTTAATTCTCAATATCACAGTCAATGCAATCCTTTTGAAATATGTCAGATCATGTCACTAATCAAAATGCTGCCATGGTTCCCCATTCAGTCAAAATAAAAGCCAAATACTTTACAATGGCCTAACACAAACCCCTGATACCTCACAAATCTAATCTTCTTTTCTTCCCCTTGCTCACTCCATTCCAGCTACCTTTCCTTATTATTCCCTGAACTTGCTAATAACTAACTACCTTCAGACCTTTCCTCAAGTTCTAACCTCTGCCAAAAACGCTCTTTCCCCTTCAATTACAACTCATCATCAAGATGTTGCTCTTTTTAATAAGACCACCTTTGAATCTCCACCAGACACCTGATTTCCTTAACCTAGGTTCTTTCTCTTCCTTCATAGCATTCACCCACTTTTTACATACCAGGTGATTTATTTTTTATTTTATTATTTATTATCTGTTTTTGCCATTAGAATATAAGCAAGGATCCCTTTTGCTGTTGCTCTTGTCGTTCGTTTATTTATACTTAGGGGTTAGATCAGTGCCTGTCACATAATAAGAACTCAATAAATATAGTAAAGTCATAAACAAGTTATTTATCTTAACAGGGCATCTTGTTCTAATCTGACGTCTCTTAATTGAAAAATTAAGTCTCTGTAGCAGACCTGACAATCATTATTTGCCCAGACATATTCCTTTTTATAAAAAATTGATTTCAGAGAGAGAAACATTGATTTGTTGTTCCACTTCTTCATGTATTCATTGGTGGATTCTTGTATGTGCCTTGGCTGGGAAATAACCTGCAACCTTTGCATATTGGGATGACGCTATAATCAACTGAGTACCCAGCCAAAGCCAGACCTCTTTCTTAATAACTGGTAATATGCACTGAGTACTTACTATGTGCTAGACACTGTTTTAGGCACTTTACATGTTAATTAAATTCTGACAACAATCCTATAAAATACATGCTATTATTGTCTTCATTTTTTACATACAACTAAGCGATTTGCCAAAGAACATATGTATTAAGGTTAGAGCTAGAACTGGAACCCAGGCAATCTGCTTTATAACATATACTCTTAAACACTGCTCAACTCTATTTCTTCCCAAAGACCTGGAAGGAGCAGCACTAGGAAAACAGCTGTACCCATGTATGTTCATGTATGAATGAACTAGGGAAAGTCACTGAAAATCTGAGAAAGCAAGACATTCATTACTGAAAGGTAATGTTGAGTTGGCTCAACACAGGGAAGCAGAAAAGTCACCAAAAAAACAAGAAATATAGTGTATAGACAGAAAGATAAAAGGATAGAGCATACGGACAGAAAAAAAAGAAGATGGGATAACATGTAGCCTCAAAATAAGATAAACAGACATCAGCTTATATGAACTTTTAAGTTCTAAAAGAATTGTCTGACATCCTGATATGGAATTCTGAGTTTTGTATACTTTTAAATACTTCTATTGTTTTAGTGCAAGTCCATTACCTGTCATAAAACCGTCTCTAATAAGGACAATTTCCAGGTTACTATGGATCTCCTATAGAAATCTCTATTGTTCTCTGATGAAATAGTAAGTCAATATGGAAGGCAATACATATAGTAAAAGTGAGTAAGTTTGGGGAAAAAAAACCTAGACTTAGGTCTCATTTCTATCATTTTGCTAGCTGTATGACCTTGGGCCATCTCCTTGAACTTTAATCATATATCTCCTACAAAAAATGGGAATAATAACATGCCCAGTCTACTTCAAATGTTATTGTGCTAAACTGGATAGTATTTGTGAATGGACTTTGAAGAATACAAATTGTCCCACAAATGTTCCCTATTGTAATGATGATTCAGGTGTGAATTAACTTTAGTTAACTGTAAAAAAAATATATAATATCTTCCCTTTCTAAGATATTTATAATTCTTGGAAAGAGAAGATATTCTTGGGTGAGTAGTATAATTATTCAAAGATTTACTGGTTGGTGATGAAATATATCACTGGGCGCATGCCTATAAATGTACACACCACCACAACCACCAAAATAAATGTCTATGGATAGTCCTTCATTTATATACAAAGATACTGATAAGGAAAGTATATTTGCTTAAAGAAATCCTATGATTTAGGAATAGTGTTTAGCTTTCATTTAAACAGTGCCAACAATTGATATACTCCTTCTTTGATAAGCTCCTACTGCTTCTTCCTGACATTACCTGATCTGTACAGTGCTCTTGAAAAGGACAACAGAATCAGAATAACCAAAGAATTAAGAATTCAGGTCATTCTCTTAAGATGTCACAATAAATCAACAGCACAGCCACAACTAAATTCAAGAGTCTTCTGAGGCTAAAGCTATTTCTATCACACCATGTTCCTCCTACACTACTTGTTTAAAATGACTTTTTAAGAGGCTGCTAAATCGAATGACATAAGAATTATATCAAGAGTTATATAGTAGAGATAGTTTGCAAAATAAATAAACTTCTTGTCCTACTTGGAATTCAGAAAAGGATAACAGCACAATTTAACAAAAGCAGGACTTTCTAATGTTCACTCCAACTTTGCTTTTCTGTAGCCTTCCTGATTATGAGGTTAGTCTATTATCAGACACACAAAAGGAATAATTAATTATTTCTATACCCAACAATAAAAAGGAAGCACTGCAAAATTAAAAAACTGTCCTAAATAATGTCAAATGTGACAGTCAATGGTAAAAAAAAAATAGTTTTGTTATAAGTAGAATTCAATCACTGCCAATATCCCACATTATAATATTTGTATATCTTAATATAGGGGGAAAAATCTTTTCAAAACAGAAGTACAGGTTCACCTGGCTTCCAGCTGTCTTTACTTATGGGTCAGTATCATTAACTCTTTACTGACTTTCAATAGAATCCTTGACAGTATATATCTGAAAATGTCAATTTTTCTAGAGCAAGTGCCTTTCAAACTACACCACCTTTACAGGTTAGACAGATGGCCAACAGCCTTTCCTTTTCCCTGTGGGAAAAAAATCCCTCTAAGCACTCACTTTTGGCACTACAATTTCCATAAAATGGCAGGTTGAGGCTCCCATGCAATCTTAGGTTCCAAAAGAAAGGAAACTTCACATCTTTCTAAATTTTAGGACTTCGTGCCAATGCTCCAAATCTTCATTTTGCCAAGATACTGTTCCCAACATATGCACAATCTCCCTCCTCTCTTTGTGAGACTGCATAAGCTTTCACTGAAATGTGATGATTGCCTTTCCCTCACGCTTCCTCAGTCCCAAATGCCCAGACTTACAGCTGGTAAAGAGTAATTTACCACTCATATACATGAGGTATCTCAAAAACAAAAGCTAATTCTAACATACACCAAGGACTGTGAATACCAATATATGTGGTATCAATGATTTATGCAGGCAAAATATGATCTCATATTGTATGCTGTATCTGAACGGCCATTCATTTGGATAGGAACCTGATGTTGACTATATTCTCTAACCAACAATTTTATTTATATAATCAATGGCAAATAATACAAATTTAACCCAACCTCTTCAGAAAGGAAAACCAGTTAAGCTAGTAGAAACAATGAGAGAGCGAGAGAGAAAAAAAAGTGACTTTCAAACACTAATAATGGATTTCCTCAAGGTGACCAAAAAGAAAAAAAACACAGACAGTTACTTTGCCCTTTTACAATTAAGGGTCCATCTGAAAGAGCATTATGAACTATATAGAAAGTTATAATCAATTCACAAATAAACCAAAGAGCTTAGGACATCTGGTGACATATTGCTTTGGTTGCCTCCATTAACAGCAGCTTACCTCAGTAAGTCCAATATTCTTCCTTTTAATGACGTTCTGCAGACTGTTGCTCAGAGTCCTGGTGAGCAACAGGTTTGTAGATTTTCGGATCATGTCATCAACTTCAGTTGAGCTGAAGAAGTGTCAAGAGTTAGTCATACCAGGTAGCGGAATTATTTTTCAAACAAACAAGGTGGTACTTGTAATAGTAATAATAATAAAATAATAATTAATAAAAAATAAAAAATGGCAGTAGCAAATAACATTTGTACTTTAATAAATTAAAATTCATTTAACCTTCACAATAAACATATGAGGTAGTTTTATTATTGTCTGTTCAGATGAGAAAATGCAGGCATAGAGAAATTAAGTAACTTGCTCAAGGTCACACAGTGAGTTCAGAGCAAAAAAAGGAGGGGGGCAAGATTTTTCACACGGGCAGTCTAGCTCGAAAGCCCACAGCATTTGACACTATGCTGCACTCTCTCTCTCTGAGTAAAGAGTTCTCCAGCATGATTCCCCATCCTAAAACCATTATTTCTTCCATTCTTCCAAGTTCCTTCACAGATTAATATTTATAATTTTCCAACCTGGTCTCTCTCTGTAGACTTCCTACATAACTAGCAGATAATGGTCCCTAAAAAAAGGTTATCTCTGCTCCTATACTATCAATTTCCATACAATGTCTACTTTGCTCTCATTCCAAAATAAGTGTTTCAAGCCAGTAGTTTAATTCTGCATACATGTTTTTAAAATCCCACTTACTTTCCCAAGAGTAATCAATAAAGGCATTTTCTATTCAGTAAAGAAACCTACACATAAAGAAAATTATTCTGAATCTATTTTTATATGCAAACTTAAAAAAAAAAAAAACAGTCCTGCAACCAACATACTAAATTCAAGATCTATACATCCTTCCTGAGCCCATGAAAACATCACCCAGGGTGGCTTTGTATAAAAGATATCCTTTTGAGACAAACAGTTCTTCAATAATAAGGCTACTATTATAATAATACTTGTTTATACACACCAAGAACTACCTATGAATAAAGATATGTGAACAGTTCTTTGTCAATAATTTATTTCTTGTGGACAATGGTCACAAATTTTATTTCATTTATTTCTCTTTCTACAGGAGGAAATCAGAGGCTTAGTAGAATTGAATTAAAAATCTTAAATTCTAAATACATAATAGGCAAGCTACATTGTCATGCTATGTGGAAAACAGAAAAATATTAGAAATAAGTAAGACTACAAAATGCAAAGCCATAATCAATTAGGAAAAAAAGATATACAAAAATATTTTTACAGCATCCATTCAAGGATATATTTAATTGACCGAAACTTTCCAACCCACTACCACTCTTTCTGAAATTATTATTGAATTGAAATACTTCATTCCATAAATAAAAGGCACTAGGCACTGTGTTAGTGGAATACTCAAATCACAATAAGGAACAAAATGGTCATGGTTCAGCTTCCATATATTAAAGTCATAATTACATCATATCAATTGTAATATGGGTTATGAATAAATATAGGTTGCTATAAGAATAATTAACACAGGTGCCCCAAAAATCTGGTGACCATGATATAAATCACTCTCATGGCATTCTATGCTTATTACATATCTCTATCATGCTTTAAGAAAAACAAACAAAAGTTCCACTTTTAGATGTGATACAGAAGATCAAGAAAGACTATCACCACCTTCATAACAACTAGAAAGCCTAAGTCTAAGCTAAAAGCTCTGTCTTCCTTAAATGTCAATGAAGTACAATGTGTAAATGAACTAAACTGCACACTGGAACAAGGCCTTCAAAGTCGAGCAAAGAGTACCACCCACTTTCATACCTCAGGCCAGCACCTAATCTGGGTAGGTATACATGAGGGAGTGAAAGAGTCATAGGCTGAGAGGCTTTGGTGGGATGAAGAGAAATCAGCTAAACCTTTAACAATGTGGGCTAATATTACAGATTGGAATCTTGGAAGAGCCCCCAAACAAAAATAAACATACTGACCCAACAATTCTTTCCTAAAAAAATTCTGTTACATAAGAAATGGAGGAGGCAGTGCTAGAAATCAGAAATCTTGAAAATTTTGCAAGGGATTTAGGTTCCAGGGATATAATGAAATTCAATCCAAAGGAGAGCAAAAACTAACTAAGTCTGAAACCCAGCCTCACTCGAATACTGCTAAGATCACAGATAAGCCCCAGGATAGAAGCTTTGGAATTTCAGTGTCGGTCTTAAGAACAAAAAGACTTCTGCAAAAGCATTTGAAATCAGAAGTAATTTAAAACTAATTAAAACTGAGACACTCAGTTCATTCAAGTAATGATGAAATCAGCATGATTTATCACGCATCTAGGAGTCACAGGAGGAGAAAAAAATGAGGAGAGAGACATATTTAAGGACATATTAGCAAAAGCACCTCCAAACCGGGTACAAGGTTTCAAACTACAAATCCAAACTGTTCAGCACACCCCAAACAGAATTCATGCAAATTAAACAACATGTAGGAACACCACAGTCAAACTATAAATTACAAAGATAAAGAGAAAAATCTTAAAGGCAGCCAGAGAAAAAAGACAATACATTCAGAGAAACAAAAATAAGAATGATAACTTGTTGCTCTTCAGAAACAATGGAAGCAGACAGTGGAATGACATCTTCAAAGTGTAGGGAAAGGGAGGACCATGAACCTAGAATTCTATTATCTTGAAAAATATACTTTTGAAAACAAAGGTGAAAAAAAATTTTTAGACAAACAAAAGCTAAGAAAGTATAATACCAGCAGATATACACTAAAAGAAATGCTTGAAGAAATTCTTCACACTGAAGGAAAATGATACTAATGGTAACCTAGGAAAGAATAAGAAGTCCTGAAAAATGCAAATATGTGGGTAAGTATAAAGGCCTACATTTTTCCTTGAATTTTAAAATACTATTAAATGTTTAAAGCACAAACATTAGCATATTTTAGAGTTTAAAAACAACTGCATTAAGTGAAGTACATGCCAACAATATCAAAAAAGAGAGAAGATGATATTATACTGCCCTAAGATTTTTTAAATTACATGAAAATGATGCATTATTCAAGGTAAATTGTGTTAAGTTAAGGAGACATTTTGTAAACCCCAGAACTAATACACAATAAATGACTAAACAAACAAATGAATAAACACATTTTTTCAAATAAGTGAACAGGGAAAATAAATCATGATGCAAAAAATACTTAATGAACCAGAAGGAAGGAAATCAGGAAAAGAGGGGCAAAAAATTAATCAGACAAGTAGAAAACAATACCAAGAGAGCAGTTTTAAATCAAAGTATATCAATAAATACATTAATACAGTTACCAGGGACTAGGACACAGGAGAAATGAGACATGTTGATCAAAGGGAACAAACTTTCAGTTATAAGATGAACAAGCTCTGAGGAGCTAATATACAACATAGTAACTGCAGTTAATAATACTATATAGTATATTTGAAATCTGCTAAAAGTGTAAACCTAAGTGTTCTTAACACATACACACACACACCCCCCCCAAAAAAGTAATTATGTGAAGTGATAGATATGAAAGTTTCATAATATATGTATATGAAATCATTATTACTGTATGCCTTTAAAAAATCAAGTACAATCTAAAAAGATTAGCAATTAAAAAAGGGAAGTATCAAAAGCTATACCAAAAAGCCAATAGAGGGATTAAAATGAAATATAAAAGCAATCAGCTAAACATGGTGACATAATTCTCTATTACGTTGGGTCTAAAGGTATGTGACCAGATGTTTCAGTCTATCACCGATGACATTCAACATTATTAGCACTCTTTGCCTGTAAAGTGTCATTATTAAAAGAATATTTTATTATCAAAAAAATAAAGGTTTCTTTTCCTTTCAGTGTCGCTGGTCTTATTTTCCTTGCATCTTTGTATTGTTGGTTAGGTTCCACTTATAGGTGAGATCATGTGGAAAAGAAACCAACAGAGACAAGAAGGAAGGCGGGGGGGGGGGGGGGCAGGGGAAAAGGAAAGGAAGAGGAAAGTCAAGGAACATATAGCAAGGACTCATGGACAAAACCAAAGGGGAAGAGTTGAGGGAGAGAGGGAGGGAGGGAGGGGTCAAGGGAAAGTGGTGGGGGGGAGGCAGAGACAAATGTATTTGAAAAACTAAATTAATTAAAAAAATAAAAAAATAAATAAGTAGAATCTTAAAAAAAGAAAAATCTTGCCATTTGCAACAACAACAAAAAAAAACAAATAAAAAAAAGGGAAAAAGTATTTTTACAATTAATTTTTCTGCTCCCGAAGCTATGTATTTCTTCATGATATAAGTTTCTATTTCATATGATATTCCTTCTGTAGAAGAAATTTCCTTTTATTTTACTTATACAGGTCTGAGGGTAATGGATTATCTCAGCTTTTGTTTGGCTAAAAAGAAATTAGTTTGCTTTAATTTTTGAAAGTTAATTTGCTGCCAACAGAATTCGGGCTTGATTAATTTTTTTCCCTGAATACTCTAAAGGTATCACTGCAAACTTATCAACAAAATAAAAAAATAATGCACAGAATGGGAGAACATATTTGCTGACACATCCGATAAGGTTTAATATCAAAATTTTACAAAGTGCTTACAAAACTCAACACCAAAGAAATAAACAACCCAATTAAAAAATATGCAAACTACCTGAATAGACACTTCTCCAAAGAGGACATACAAATGATCATTAGTCATATGAAAAGATGCTTGAAGTCACTAATCATCAGAGAAATGCAAATTAAAACCACAATGAGATACTGTCTCACACCTGTCAAAATGGCTATCAGTAATAAATCAATACACAAGTGCTGGTGAGGAGGTGCAGAAAGAGGAACCCTTTTGCACTGTTGGTGGGAATGCAGACTGGTGCAGCCACTGTGGAAAGCAGTATGGAGATACCTCAAAAAGTTAAAAGTGGATCTGTCTTTTGACCCAGTGAGCCCACTTCTGGGAATATTTCTGAAGGAACCCAAAACACTAATTCAAAAGAACATAAGCACCCCTATGTTCATTGCAGCATTATTTACAATCACCAAGATACAGAAGCAGCCCAAGTATTTATCAATAGATGAGTGGATAAAACAACTATGCGACATTTACACATTGGAATTCTACTCAGCCACAAAAAAAGAAAATTTTACCTTTTGCAGCAGTAAGGATGGACCAGAACATTATGCTAAGTGAAATGTGCCAGTCAGAGAAAGACAAATGCCATATGATTTCATTCACATGTAGAATCTAATGAACACACTGAACAAACAAGGAAAATGAGGACCGACTCATAGATGGAGAGCAGGACAGCAGCTAGCGGAGGGGTGGGGAGGTTGGGGGAGCAGGAACTGAGTAAAAAGGGAAAAACTCACCGACATGGACAACAGTGTGGTGACTGCTGTGGGGAGGGGTATATAAAGGGGCTAAAAAGTAATGTAAAAAAAATGTAATACAAATTAAATTTAAAAAAATAAAAAGAAACTTAATTTGCTGGTGACAGAATTCAGGCTTGATACATTTTTTTCCTCTGAGTACTTTAAAGATATCATTACATTGTCACTGGCTTGCATATTTTCTGAAGAAAAGTCTGCTATAATTCTTACTATTTTTGACTACATGAAATAACCGCCCCCCATGCCTTTTAAACATTCTCTTTGCCTTTCATTTTCATCAATTTGCATATGCTGTGTTTTTGCTTGCTATTGTTGCTATTACAGTCTTGTTTGTGTTACTGGGAGTCTATCTCTGGTTTGATGGGGTTTTTTAAAATTTTTAGAATACTCTCAGCCATTATCTTATAACATATTTCTTCTTCCCAGTTTAATCTTCTACTTCTGAGATCCCCAATTACACTGAAGTTGCCCCACAGATCTTGGATACTGTTTTATTTCTTTCATTATTTTTTTTTCTTTTTGGGTGTCAGTTTGGGTAACTCCTATTGACTATATTCAAATTCACTCAATTCTTACCTCAGCTATGCCAAATCTACTGATGAGGCCCTCAAAGGAATCCGTCATCTCTAAAACTGTTTCATATGTCAAGCATTTCAACAAAATGTTAGATGAGATTTGATTTTAGAAAAATGACAAAAATGAATCAGGATAGAATAGATAGATGATTGAGAAAGGAAAGTTAGAAATAGAAAAACAATTAGGAGACTATTTAAATAGTCCAGCTCAAATATGACTCAGTGTAAATTAAAGTAGACACACTGTGAAGAGAGCATTTTAAAGAAAAAAGAAGAGCTGGAAAAAAAAAGAATTCGTACAATATGTCACCAATTAAATTTAAGGAAGCTTATTTACAAGTGAGCACTGCCCTCATTTGTTAAATAGGAACAATTAGGACTTAACTCAGAGAAATATTATGACAAGTACCCAAGATAAAGCATGTAAAATAGTAATATAATTACTACCAAAGAGTAAGAATTCTAAACATGACAGTGACTGTTTTGTTAATGCTGATGCTCATGAGCTTTGAATCTGGCACCAGCACTTACTCCCTGTGTGACCATGGAGAAGTTACTCAACTCTCGGCCTTACTTTCCTCCACCATAAAACTGAAGTATGCTTCATAGATAAGTGCTATTTTGAATTTTAGAGATGTAATAATAACATATTTGTGAAGCGTTCACAGGAATTTAGTCCAATGCTTGAAATTTTGTTTTAAAGAATAAGTTATTAGAAACAGACTCATCGATACAGAGAACATTTTGATGGTTGCCAGATAGGAAGAGAGTTGGGAGGTGAAAAAGGCGAAGGTACTGAGAAGTAAAAATTGGTAGTTACAAAACAGTCATGGGGGTGTACAGTACAGCACAGGAAATACTGTTAATAATATAACAAATATGTATGGTGTCAGATGGGTACTAGATTTATTGGGGTGATGACCTCATAAACTGTATAAATGTCTAATTACTGAATTATACAACTGAAGCTAATATAATATTGTATGTCAACTGTAATTGAAAAATAAGAAATTATTTTTAAAAAGAGACATTAATAGACAATAGGTCTTGAAAATTCTCAGGTTCCTGATTTGGGTGAATGGAAGTATCATTTACTGAGAAAAGTAGGTTCCTTTAAAAAGCCAATCATCATGACTATTCTCCCTCAAATTCTTTAAGATGAACTAAGTGCTTTTCTAGGTGTGTTAAACATACATTATACATATTACAACACTCACCCTGGTATATTTTGCATGTCTGTTTTCATGTTTATTATCATCAGTAGATACTGACAAATTCTAAGGGCAAAAAACTACATCTTTTATTTCTGCATTCCTAAAAAGCAGATGTGACTGGTATATAAATAGGCTCAATATATGTTAGTTAAATAATTAAACATAAAGTAAAGGAGATGTGGAGACCTTTTATAATTCCAAAGAATATTTTGAAAGAAGGGTATTTCCACAGGGTTTTATCTACTACACTCCCACGGGCCTTAAAATTTTACCAAACAGAATGTCAAAACTGGTATGTTATACTACTCTTTTCTAATGAATTCTCACTAATAGAAAGTGTTGAAACAAAACTCTGTGTATAGTACAGAATAAGCTAAGTAATAAAAACAAGATATTCAAAAGTTTCCAACATTCCCTTTCACCATGACTATGTAAACATATCAGTGTCATGCTGTGAAGGGCTAATATTAAGACTTTTCAAAGCAGGGCTAAGAGGATATCGAAATTTTTGAAGGACATTTATGTATATAGTCGCAATCTCAGTATCTCTTGCATTTCCACTGTACATACTATACCTTAGATGAAGATCTTCTGAAAATTTCAGACAGGCGTAGATAAATTCTTTAATTTGGTTGTAAACTTTTGGCACAAATTCAGAGAAAGGAAACTTTTTTGGAAATGGCTGCTGTAAATGCAAGAATTAATGAAAGCAACTCACAAACATACATTGAAGATAACTGTAAATTAATTAAAATGCAAAAGGAATTTTCTTCTACATTGTCAGCAGTCTGCTTAACAGCCACAATTTAAGAAAATATTTCTTTAAGTTTCCTAATACTAAAATGAATAAGATAAAAATTTAAGTAAATAATAATTCAACTGTCCTCCAAAACATGAAGTGATAAATAAACTGTGATACATATTCAGCAGTAAAACAGAATGAATTAGTGATAACAATTTGGATGAATTACAAAAGCATTATGCTGAGTGAAAATAAAAACAGTTTCAAAAGATTACATACTATAAGATTCTAATAATCAAAGCAAAAGTAGATGGATAGCAACCAGGTTAGTGGTTGCCAAGGGCTGGGGGTGAGAGGAAAGAGTGATTGAAAAAGGGCAGCAGGAAAGAATTTGGGGGATTGATGGAAGGGGTCTGTGTCCTTACTGTGGCAGTACATAACATGACTCATGCATTGTCAAAGCCATTAGAATTATACAGCACAAAAGGTAAGCTTTATGTTTTAAGGAGAAAATACCCTAAGGGTATAATAAAAGCAAGTATTTCAAAGTGTAAACCAAATACTTCAATCCCCCAAATACTTCGAAGGTGAGGGGAACCCAAAGCCATCTATTGACTTCCAAAACAGAAATCTGTTCTTCCAAGCCCAAAGCATCCTTTGGAGGTGTTCTAGTTCTAACCCACTGAATTAGAGGTAATGCCTTTAATGAGACTGATACAATGAAAGCTTGTAAAGGATGACAAGCTGAACAGAGAGGTCTATTTTAAAGTATTCCTTACCTTTTCCAGCTCTGTATCTTGAAATGGGAAGTGTCCTACCACCTTTTTATACACCTCTTCACTTGTTACTGGTATAGGGCTATAGTTGTCAGAATCAAGTATGTTTCTATAAAGAAAATAAAGGAAGAAGGAAAGGGAGGCAGAGTGGGAGAGAAAGAGAGGGAGGGGGAGAGTGGGTTAATCACTGTAGTGAACACAAGTAATTTTCAGATGAATTCCAATGGTTGTATGTGTATATATCAAAACCCAAAATAAACACTTCCCAGTCCCTAGTTTATTCTTTATACAACATAGCTATTTGGCTTCAGGTACAGACATCCTTAAAAGAAAACAAAAAGAAAACTACATTCTGAAACAAATAGAACACAATTATAAACATGATCTCAAATTATTTGAGATTTACAAACGAGGCAGAAAATTTAAGGCAACATATTGAAGCCTTAAGGAAAGGAAAGTAACAATAAAAGAACATGTGCTCTGGAAAAGGCAAAGGGGTTTCAATTTTTTTTTTTTTTAAGTAAGATATATTTGAGCCTTGACTGGGGTGGTTCAGTGGGTTGTGTTGTTCCTCAAACCAAAAGATCACTGGTTTAATTCTTGGTCAGGGCACATGCCTAGGTTGCAGGCCAGGTTTCTGGTTGAGGGAATGCAAGAGGCAACCAATCGATGCTTCTCTCTCACATTGATGTTTCTCTCCCTCTCTTTCTCCCTTCCTCCCCCTCTCTCTAAAAATTAAATAAAATATTTTTTAAAGATATATTTGATTATGTTCTTTAATCCTATACTAGATCTTCTCTCAAAATTGGCAGATGAGAAAAAGTAACTTCCATAATAAGTCTAATTTATGTTCATTTACTTTATCTACTGCTCTATATTAAGCATTTTTTTAACCCATAGGTTCTGATTCCTTAACCAGACTGAGGGTTCTATAAAAGCAAAACCATGCTATCGAAATCAAAATAGAAATTTACTGAAAGCATCATATCAGATGCTCTCAAGACATGAATATTACCATGTAATTAATTTTCAAGGTTCCTGTAGAGATACTTTTCATTAAATACAACTGTACCATTACATAAACCTGTTTCTTAGAAATATAAATGTTTATATTAATATACAAATGAGTTTTACTATGCGATTATTAGAGATATGTTCATACACTTTATAGAGGTAAGATTGAAGGGGCAATGTAAGATCTTAAAGCTGTAAGAATATGAAAAAAAGATAAGCTGATCTGGGGAAGGGATCATGCAGTAAGCAAGATTACTTCACTTAGGGAAAGGAGTAAAGATTCAAAAGAAGAAACTCAAGTTAATGACAAGAGGTGTATGCCAGTCCAAAGAGACATTTGTAAGTAGGAAGTATAACAAAATAACTTTCTTACTGTTGTACGCATGTTACAACAACTATTTAAATAATATACTTCAAGTATTGGGTTGTAATAGGCCTCTTCTCTGTGTGCGGAGAAGTAAAAAGATGAGGAATCACATGAGTAAGGTTTCAAAAAGATGAAAAAAAAAGATTCCGAAAAAGCAAAATTATTCAATGGGTTCAAAAGCTACCACCTTATGAATGAGCTGCAGACTAGACAAGATCCTCACAGAGAAAACAAAAAAATTGAATAGGAAGATATGAGATGATATACATGGTATGAAGCAAGATACTTTGTTAATCAAGGGAACAAAAAAGAAAGAAAAAGCCACAATGGGATTTGGGGACTCCCACATGGTAGACACTAACACACTGACATTGGATATCTTGGGAACTTTATGTGGGACATCATTGCAATTTACTTTTATTATCATTCATAACCTGGACCATAGCTAGAATATATAAGCCTACTTGTCTCTCATTACATCTGAAAAACCTATGCACTAACACATTGCGCACACAGGCACATGGGAGTGCTCGCACACACATATATGAATATAAATAATTTCTCACCTAAAAATACTTCCCCACTTCTTTAGCAGAGTTTCACTGTATTGGTCTCTGATTTCTAAGAGCATGTCAAAAAGCTGATTTACAGGAAAACCATAAACCTGAAACAAAATAAGAAAACAGCTTTATTTCATAAGGTTATTTTTTACAGTAACAGGAGAAAGATTAGGTATTGAAAGATATCTTTGTTCTTCGACCAAAAATTTAAATGAAACCATGATAAAATGTCCTTTATTACCACCTCATATGTGGTGTTTATCTCTCAAGAAATAAGAAAGTACATACCAAAATATTTAAGCTAGTCAGAAAAAAACAAAGATGTAAGTTAAAAGCAATATATACAGGGTACAATATTAGCAAATCTCTCCCTACACCTCCGCCGGTAGTGCATAGAACCATCGTGGGAAGGCGGAGGGGCTGGAAATGCTGCCAGTCTCACTTCTAATGCTAGTTTATTAATTTAATATGTGGTTCAAATAAATAGTCATTATTTGAGATGGTAGTTAAGAAACTCTAAAGTCATGCAGGCACTATATGTGAATTAAGAATATTTTGAAAAACTAAAGTAGTGGCTGGTTAAATTAATTGATTTGCTCAATGGAAAAAGGGGGAATGGGAACTATTTCTGAGAACATAAATGGTCAAGGTGATGATCAGGAAATGCTACAAAGAGATAAAAAGACCTATCTCTAGGAAAAAAAGGAACACAACTAAAAACTGAAAGGTACTATTCAAGCTTAGGTAAACAGTGAAAAGACTTAGAGCTGATGAAATTCTAATCTAGATAAATATATGTAAACAGAAGTCACAAACCTGAAGTGTATCAGCAAAAAGTACAATGAGGTTCTTCAAATCTAACACGAGGTTTGGATCAGAGCAGTAAGACTAAAGGAAATAAGAGACAATTAGGAAAACATCTTAATTATTAAAAATAAAACTAAATTTTGATTTATTTAATCGTTTACTGCTTCACCTGGTAAAGTCTCTAGAAAAGGTACAATGAACAGATTTAAGGTAACACCAGATTTGGCGAGGGAGAGCTGAGTAGAGACTCCAGTGAGCCATGACCCTACATTTTTAACACTTGGAAATTTAAAACACACTTCTAAATAATTCTTCGGTTATAGAATAAATTAAATTGATATTGCAGATTATTTTTAAATGAACAATGAATACTTTATATCAAAACCTATGAAATGTGATTAAAGCCATTTTCAAAATAAGTGTATATGCAAATATTAAAAGACACAAAAGACGAAAAGTAAATAAACTAAATTCTTAACTCATGAAGCTAGGCCAAAAAAGGCCAAAATAAACCATATGTAAATGAGAGAAGAAAAGTAAATGAGAGAAGAAAACTGATAAAATTGAAAGAATTTCATGCCTTAGAGAACACAGGAAAGATTTGATCAATGAAACCAAAAGCTCAAGTTAAAAATATAATCAATAAAATAGACAAATCTTAGGCAAGTCTGATTAAACAATAAAGAGAAAGCAAGTCTACAAGGAATACAAAAGATAAACATAAATACAGAGGAAAATTAAGATTACATATGAAGTCCACACACAATCTCTTATCAATATTCAAAAAATTTGAATATTGAAATGACATAGAAGATAGTTTCTCTGGGCAGGATACAAAGATGTACATGTTACTATTTTAAAAGTTCAGTGATTTTGTTATTCAAAGTCTCTTGATTATAGTTTGGTTACTCACTCTCTACTTGATATCTCAGTTCCTAAAAGAGGTGTGATGAATTCTCCCACAACAGTATGGTTCATCAGTTTCTCTTCTTATTACTAATAACTTTGTTTTTATACATATTTATGCTTGCTCATCTCCTATATATAAGCTTTTATCTTTTTGGTGGGTTAAAACTAATATTAATACAAAATGTGCCTCTCATCTGTCATTTAATGGTCTTCAACTTCAGTTCTATTTGCCTTGTAGAATACTGCCATTTCTGCTCTACTTTATGTTCAATCTTTGTAGGTAATCTTAATTATGTAAGAATATCTCTTAGTAACCAAACTAAAAACTTCCTAACTCTGACATTTCCCAAGATTACTGACATATTTTGACCTATTCCAGCCATTTTAAGTTTTCTATTTATAATTAATTCTTTTTTTTGTTTCCTATCATGTTTTTCATTGGGTTGAGTCTTTTAAATTTTCTTATAGTGGTTATTAATCAGTTATAGATCCATTAATCAGGTTGTATAGTGGTTATTAATCAGTTGTAGTGGTTATTAATCAGTTCAATTATTACTTGAAATAATCTGGAGTTTTGACATGAACTTTTTAAATATTAAGCCTCTCCTTTTGTAGGTATTCCTAATGGCATTAAAGTTTATAAATAAACAATCATTTAGACTTATCCATGAGTTTTAATCTCTTTTTAACATATTGTATTTAATCCTATCTCATATTGTATATTAGATTTCTTTTTCATTTTACACTCCTCATTGTAGAACACCAATTCAATAAGGTAGGTAAAATGTAAATCTGGAGACCTAATATGTTTAAAAATGCCTTTCTTTTGTCCTCAAACTAAAATATGTAGGTTTTCAAATGTGAAAAAACTGTCTGCTGTCATTTATCCTGCTTGACACAACATATATCCTTTCAAATTTAATTATATAGCCTTTCTTCACTGCAGGGAAATTTCCTTTTACTTCTTTAATTAATAAAGTTCCCTCCTTTGTGACTATCCTTTCTTTCTAACTATTAGATACAACCAAAACTCTACATCAATTATCCATGCTTCTTAACTCTCACATTTTCCATCTCCATCTTGGGTAGGCCCAACAGGCTGTCAAAATCTAAGTTCAAACTGTCTGGTCTAACAAGTGACCTCAAGGCAAAGGCAGCTTGTGTTCAGCCTATCTCTTCAGACTGTCAATTTCCCTTGGATTTCACCTAGTAAGTCCTTAATATCCTTACCAAGATTTAAAGAACATCTTACATGATATAGATACATAAAGCAGCTCTTTTAGTTGTTTCCAGCTGAACGGTTGGTATGAGTAACTTAAGCTCCTATATTCCTAAAATGAAAAATGATTATTACTTTGTAAATTTTTCTCCAAGTCCATCAATTATTTATATTGGCTAAAGAATAGCTATTTGATTTGTTTATTGTTGTATTCTATTTGATGTAATTGATTTTACTAGAATATTTTATGACTCTTGGCTGTTCGTGTTATGGAACGAAGGACTAGTTTGATTAATATGAATAACTGGTATGGGTTTCATCCTCTACAGTTTTAAGTCTATTTCCCAAGAAACTGAGTACAGGCTCTTTGTAAGTGGGTGGGGCAAATGAATCACTTTGTTCAAAAAGCAGTACCAGAGAACTTTGCTGATCTTGCCTCTCTGTTTATATAGTAAGGTCAGCCAAATGAATTGGGTAAACAGCTGGCTGGCCAAGGGTTTTGGAAAGCAAACCTCGAGATAGTTTCCCTTATGGTTTATACTAGGCCCATTCCTGCTCACTGTATCTGTTGACTCTGAATTTTGAGTGTTCCTATATTCTACCTGGAAGAATGTCTCCAACTTTGACAATAACCATGACCTACCACACAAAAAGTGTAATTTTTATCCTCAGGTTCAGTCATTATTCTGATTCCATCTGCTTTGGAACTTCAAGGAAATTTTTTGAAAATTCTAGCCTATAGATGGTACTTTATTGGGTATCCCTTTTTAAAGTTGTTTTCCCTCCATGCTATTTCAATGGGAATTTGGTTAGGAGACCTGGAAGACACATATGCTTAGTATATGCTTTGACTCAAAAAAACTTAAATTATGTGTGTGACAGGGAACAGGTTTGAATGTGGGTATGGGTGTGTATAAAACCACTACTATAGTACACACCCTCCACTACCTAATAAAAAATGTGCAATATTTTATATCTATAAAACGTAAGTATTTTGTACACTGTTCCATAATTTTTAATCTTAAAAATATCTTTTAAGTATTATCAGATGATCTGTTTATATTAGCAATCACATTAGCAATTATATTAGCAGGTCCAATATTGAACCATTTCTGATAGGAACTCTCCTTTGTATTAGCATATTATCCTTTTAATATATTGCTAAATTTGAATTCTAAGTGAGACATTGTGTAAGATCTTTATTGTTTTGAAATCAGCATGAGACTGCTATACGTATTAATACCTGAAATATTATATCTTCTGAAATGTTTCCAACTTGTGCAATGACCAATAATTCAATCAGAAAAGTAAAAGAATAGTTTTAAATGGAGTTAAAAATACAGATTTTTAATAAACAATTACTCAGATATAGAGTTTGTCTTGAGAATGGTATTGATGGTTGGGTCATTCTTATTTTGCTTTGCTTGCTTGGTAATATAATGCAATAAACAGTGTCATGAAAAGAATTAGCATCTGTGGCATCAACTATTTTGTGTCATAATGGATAAAATGGATCAGTGAGCAAATGTGGGTGATGTTAACTTATGTTTTAACAGCTCTCTTGAGATACAATTCCCATACCACACAAGTCACCCATTTAAAGCACATAATTCATTGGTTTGCAGTTTTTTTGTACATTTGCAGATATGTGCAAACACAAATACAGTCAATTTTAGAACATTTTCTTCACCTCAAAAAAAGAAATTTGTGCCCTTTAAGCCATTATGTCCTTACTCCTTCTACCCACTGCCAGCCCAAACTAATCTACTTTTTCCCCCTCTGTAGACTGATGGGGAGTGGGGAGGAGGGGGAGCATTTTATCATTTATTCTTCAATTCAAAAGAACATATGGTCGATCTACAAGGAGAAACTCCATTAAGATCAACTTTCTATATACATATTCACTTTAATTAGCACACTTGGAAAGTGTTCTGCTCTTAATAACATCAAAAACAATTGCATGATGAGCAGAGTATGTGGTCCTGTTGGGAGTCCTGTAGACTCATCACATAGATTCATCAAATGTTATCAGTCACACACAAAAAAGTTAAGACCACTGCTTTACATAAAAGAAATTGCTTGGAAGAAATTTAAGTTTTCTAAAAATAAACAAGGCGTTTGGTTCTGTGGCACAATGGGACATGGGACTTCTAAAAACAGACAAAGAGCTTTTCCCAGGAAAAATAAATGGTAAAAATAACTGAAATGAACAAATACAAAACAAATAAAATCAAAGATTTCCATAGGATAACAGTAATACTAATTAATAAATATAATTGTGGGGAAAAACCTTCCTTAAAATATTACCTGAAAAAAGCATAAAGCACCAAGAAATAGGACTTAGATGGAGAGCATTAAATATTTTATCAAAAGACATGAAAGCAAGTAAGAAAAAAGCACACATATTCCTGATAAAAAAATAGCAGAATTTTAAATATATCAATTATTTCCAATTAAATTTACAGATGGGGAGAGGAGGAAAAAGTGGAAGAAATGTAGCAAAGTAATTCTCAAATTATTCTTGAAAAATAATAAGATAGTCAGCACCTTTTAAAAAGAGGATTTTGGAGAATACTTTTCCTATAAAAAAATGTTATACCACAATATTTCAAATGTAATGATCAAAGCACTGTTATATTGATTCAAGACATACAAGGAGAAGGAAAGGGAAAGGGAGTATCATAGAGCCTAGAAACAGACCTTAATATACATATTATTACATGACAAAGGTGGTCTTCAAAATATTTTAGGAAAGAACAGATATTATGGACTGAATGTTGTGTTCCCTAAAATTCATATGCTGAAACTCCAACCCCCTAGTGTGGCAATATTTAGAGACAGGGCCTTAGACAGATAATTAAGATCAAATGAAGTCATAGGGTGGGACCTTAATCTGATGGGATCTGTGACCTTACCTTAGGACTAGGAGACACTAGAATACATCTGAGGAAAGGCCATGTGAGGACATACTAAGGATGTAGCCATTTGCAACCAGGAAGAAAGTCTTCACAAGAAACCCATAATGCTGGCACCCTGATCTCAGATTTCAAATGGTATACATGTGATCATTTAAAACAGTAAAACACTGAATACCACAGATAATAAGCTCGAAGTAAGAACTTCTGTTGGGCTCTTACATACCGAGTGGGTTCGGAGTGCTGCAATGGTTTTTGAAAGTGCCATCTCCCATAGTTCATCAATGTAGGCTCTATTTACTAAGCCCTGGGTTGTATGTAAAATATGATCTTCAACCACAAAAAAGCTAAGATTGAGGAAAAAAGAAAACATAGCTGTCAGAAATTACAGTTTACATACTATCTCCAGGGTTTGACAAACTAAGAGCTGCCTTAAATTCTAAATTAATAGTCATTTTGGCTTAAAGAATGCTGTTTGATATCTTAAATAAAATCAGATTTCTAGGACTTAGAATTATGCCCCTGATCCTGATATCCTCTTAAGCACTTTTACAGAAATTGGATTACACGTCTGTTAAATGTTACATGATATCCAGCAATTTAAAAGAAAATATTTACAGGTAAAGAAGGCTAATTTTATCATATAAAAAACATCAGGCCATTAGTACATTTTTAAAAACCAAGAGGCTTTAAAGAGACAATAAGAGCTAAAACACAAATATTTTAAGAACCCAACACATAAAATATCAAAATAATTATCCTTATCCTTAAGGACTTTCTTAACAAAGTACTGAAAAGGTATCTTACAAAGGAAAAAAATGCAAACAACTTTCTGCAGAGGGTTTTGTATTTTTATGCTTTTAAAGTGTATCTTAAGCTATCTTGCCTAAATGTTCATACTAATTAAAACAATTCTTTAAATATGGAATATTCATGATATAATCAAAATTATCAATCACATCAAAACAACCTTAATATAAATAAAAGGAACTTCTTGGAACAATCCAATTTATTTCCCTTTATTTAAGCTGCAAAGTCACTATTTTGCAATTAAAATAAGATGCCTATATTTCAGATGTTTAGCTGGGAACTGCAATTCCACATTAGTACAGATACCATAGATGAGGGTGGCGAACCCTATGTCCCCTGGGATGAATCTAGCCCACTGTGTGTTTTTATAAACACTGTTTTATTGGAACACAGCCATGCTCACTCATTCACGTATTGTCTATGGTTGCTCTTGCATTGCAACAGAACTGAATAGTTGTGACCGAAAAAAAAAAAAAAAAACAAACCCAAAAAACTTATAGCCTGGTAAGCCTAAAATACTTTACTATTTGGCCATTTTAGAAAAAGTCTGCCAACTCTTGCTGATTATTGGTTCCCTCTTACCAAGAATGAAGAAACAAAACATCAGATATAATAAGATTACAATTCAGAGTTTTTCTCCTTTATCCACAAAACATCCTTTGCAGCAATATAACATTAAAACTATTCCTTTGAAATCATTAGACAGTCAAAACTAACACTTGCCTTAAAAATTTAAAAACAAAGAATTTCCCAATGAAAATTTAATTTATTTTTGCCAACTCTCACAAATCTACGTACTGAAAATATATAAATTTACATATACACACATATATATACCTACCCTACAATTTGATTAAAATACTTCCTGTAGCCATCTAAAGTTTCATGCTGCAATAAAGCAAAGAAGAAAAAAGTTATTGTTTCCGTTTTGCTACATTAAGACAAAGTTAATATCAGCTTTTGAATTTCTTAAGACTCAGTTCCCAAGACTACTAGGTAAATATAGTAATAGTACGTACCTTACAGGGTTACACTGAGGACAAAATGAGACTTAGAACAATGTCTGACACATAGTAATCGATAGATGTCGGAGTTGCTATGTTTTTACATTCATCAAAAGTGGTCTCACCAGGAAGACAAACAGTCCAATTAAAAAATGGGCCTGAATAGACACTTCTCCAAGGAGCACATACAGATGACCCATAGACTTATGAAAAAATGCTCAACATCACTAGCTATCAGAGAGATGCAAATTAAAACCACAAGGACATAGCACCTCACAGCTGTCAGAATGACTACCATCAATAAATCAACAAAAACAAGTGCTGGCAAGGATGTGGACAAAAGGGAACCTTAGTGCACTGTTGATGGAAATGCAGACTGCTGTGGAAAGCATATGGAATCACCTCAACAAATTTAATATGGAACTGCCTTTTGACCCGGTGATTCCATTGCTGGGAATATTCAGTAAGAATCCTGAAACACAATTCAAAAAAACTTATGCACCCCTATGTTTATAGCAGTGCTATATAAAATAGCCAAATGTTGGAAACAGTGTAAGTGCCCATCAGTAGACGAATGGATTAAAAAACTGTGGTACATTTACACAGTGGAATACTATGCAGCATGAAAAAAGAAGGAATCCATACCCTTTGCAACAGCATGGATGGCACTGGAGACTATCATGCTAAGTGAAATAAGCCGGTTGGTGAAAGACAAATACCATATGATCTCCTAAGAGAAATCTAATGAACAAAATAAACTAATGAGCAAAATAGAACCAGAGACATGGAAACATGGAACAGACTGACATCTGCCAGAGGAAAGGGGGTTGGGGGGGAATGGTGGAAAGAAAGGGAAGGGATTAGTCAAAGAGCATGTATGAATGACCCATGAACATGGACAACAGCGTAGGGACCGACTGTGGAAGTGAGGCGGGGGGTGGGCTGGGGGGGTGGGCTGGGTGGAGGATGGCAAAGGAAGGAAAATTGGGACACCTGTAATAGGATAAACAAGAATTTTTGAAAGTCTCAGACTAACAGTTAAAAACATTTTAGGCATATATGCAAAATAATTAAAAGATAAAAGAAAAATGAGAAAGTGGGAAAAGTAAAGGTGGTGATCCTACCATGTTAGATGGAGGCTGGAGCACCAAGCGGGCCTGTTTTCGCCTCTGTTTTCGGTAATAGTTCTCAAATGTTTCCCGGGCACCCTGTACACAAATAAAAAGAAATGAGTTGACACAATTGGACCAATTACTCTAGTATTTCACGGGAAAAGAGAAGTTCCCAGGTCAGGAACTAAGGCATCCCTGCATTTCTCAAAATCTTCTATTTTAACTATGATAATAATCACAGAAAAAATTAAAAATAAGTCTTACATTTGTTGAACCTTACTTACAAATCCTGTAGTGATGGATATAAAAGATTCTTAACAGGAAACTACTAGAACTCCACCTCCAAAACACCAATGCTGGTTTTTTAATCAATTATAACAAATTCACACGAATAGAGACAAACCAACATTCTCAAGAGTTGAGAAAATGTTCCTTAAGAAAACCTTACAGAACATTCCAGAAGGAAAATGTCCAGAATAAAAGTGAACCATGAGCAAATAGCCAAAGAGAGGCAGAAGAAAGGTAGGAACGGAGAACAATGAATCAGTCTTCCCAGATAGAATATGGTCCTTCACAGAATTGAGGGAAAGAAGAAAAGGAGGGAAGGAGACTGGTTGGAAGGCCCTGGAAATTCTTAGTGCAGGGTTTCCATTTTTCATTTAGGGTTTCTGGGCTTAAACTTGAGGTGCTAGCAAACAAGAGCTGCCTCAAGAGCTCTGTAACTGGTTTGAATTGAATAATGTCCTCTCAAAATTCATGTCCTTCCCAGGATCTCTCAATGTGACCTTATTTTGAACTAGGACCATTGAAGGTGTAACTAGTTAAAGTAATATACAATCATACTTTAGTAGGGTGGCCCTTATTCCAATATAACTGGTCTCCTCAAAAGACAGGAGAAAAAGACACAGAGATAGAGACAAACAGAACATCATGTGGTAGCACAGAGACTGGAGTGGTGCCACTGCAAACCGGGGAACACCGAGGAGTGGCAGCCACCACGAGAAGCTAGAGAGATGCAAGGAGGAATTCTGCCCAGAGTCTGCGAGGGAGGATGGCCTTCTAACATCTTGATTTTTTATTTCTAGCCTCCAAAGCTATGACAGAACAGATTTCTGTTGTTTTGAGCCACCCAGTTTGTGGTAGTTTGTTATAGCAGCCCAAGAAAACAAATACAAGTTCAATGCTTTTAAAACATGATGCTCCTCTTATTACTAAAGTCTAGTTTTAATTTAAGACTTCTCTAAATAAACAAGAGTGGAAAGGAAAAGACAGCATTGCACACTGGTTAAGAGCACAGATTTTGGAACAGACAATTTCATTCAAATTGTGTCTCTGCCTCTTACTTACTCCACAGCTCATATGACTAATTACATAACTTCCCTTCCACTAATTTAACCTCCACTATTTAACTATTTAACTTTCACAAATGGATGTGCTGTGGTTTTCTCATTTGTAGAGATGCCAACCACAGGCAGTTGTTAGGAATATTTAAAGAGTTACAAAGCTTTTGGAACAGGGTCTGATACATAGTAACCATTTAAAAATTAAATAAAAAATGAATGAAGAAAGTGGAAGCCCTGCCCTTGTGAGAAAGTTGACGTTCCTGCAATACCTAGTTCAGTTTCCTTCACCTTCCCAAAAGTATGAAGAACTTAATCCAACCTGACTTCTTTGAATAGGGGAAGCTGACAAAGTACTAAATCACCTAAACTCAATAGGGTAGCTTAGAAGTTACTAAACTTTTTCTGTACAGGGTAGGACAGTAAATATTTTTGGGCTTGGTTAGCCACACAGTCTTTGCTGCAACTACTTAACTCTTTTGTTGCAGTGCAAACACAGCCATAGACAATGCAGAAATCATTGTGGCTGGGTTCCAATAAAACCTTACTTGTGGAAACTGAAATGAGAATTTCATATCATTTTCACCTGTCATGAAATGTTATTCTGCTTTTGATTTTTTACCAACCATTTAAAAATATAAACCAATGTTAGTTCACAGGTCATGCAGAATAGGCAGCAGGCAGGATGTGGTGATTTGTTGACACCTAGTGTAACTTGAAAACACAGGTTTTAAAATGCTGAAGTGGTTATAACTGTACACAACTGAGTTTTTCTGCCTATAAAATAAAATCAAACATTAAAACAACTGTTTCAAGACTTTCTTAGTCCATAAGTTAATAAGGTAGCAAGTGATTCTGTTTTAAAAAATAAGAAGTGGAAACTGCCTCTTGGTTCATTAAAGTTATTCGCCACTTGTCACCATTTCATGGCATATTGGCTTTATTAAATGTCAATTACATTCTATACACACTGAAGGGCTTTTCATTTTAAGATTAACAGTCCTAAAGGCCCTTTATTATTCTGGTGTGGCGTTACATATTCAACATGTTCTGGAGCCAAAATATACTTTGCTGAGAATTTAGAGAAAGCCTTCTCTTTAATTAGACCGTAGTATACAAATTTCATTATTTGTTATAAATAATAGAAAATAGAAAAGATGAAATTCTATGCAAACACAAAAGCATGAACCTGTACTTAATTCTAAACTAGATATAGTTTTGCCTTTCAAATAAACATACAATAGAATAAAAGCATAAAAAAAGGACAACCTACCTATTTACAAAAATGAGTTAGATTTTCCCTAGTGGCTGCTAAATAAATTCACCTCTGATTATTCTATATCCTCTGCCAATTTTGTTAACTCAGTGCTTACAGGTGGAATTTGAGAAGTAGATGTCTGACCAGTCCAGGTGAGTAATAGTTGAAGTGCCTACCTATTTGCTAAGAGGTTAATAGATGAACTATAGAGGTTTGCCACTTCAGCTTCAAATTCCTTTAATCACTAATATATGTTAAAACTCAAAAGCTACTGAAGGTCTAAGCCAATAAAAATAAAACAACAGGCAGGCAAGTGAAAAGCTGTTTTGGGGTTTTTTTTGCATTTTATGTCATTATATAATTAGTATCACAGTGCTCCAAAGGCTTTGTAAGTATTAATACACACAATAACACAGAAAAACACATCATTTAACACATATAAAGTGCTTTATTACCATGTGGTAGACACTGAGAATGGTCCCTGCCTTCATTGAAATTATAGTTTATGGTGGAAGACTAACAAACAAGCAATTATATTAAAATAAGCTACAGAATCCTATGGACAAGGGCAGGGGTGTGGGGGGGGGAGAGAGAGAGAGAGAGAGAGTGTGTGTGTGTGTGTGTGTGTGTGTGTACGCGCGCGCTGAGTGGAAGAAATGTCAGAGAAGGCCTTCCCAGAAAAGAAAAGTGTCATTTATACTCATAATTAAAGAATAAGTCAGAAGAATAATACAGGTAAAGAAAAAGGGGAAAAAAGTGTTCTTTGTAGACATACAGGGGTTCAAAGAAAAAAGCCATCACACCTCCCACAAACTGAAAGCTTCCAGGGCTAGAACTTCAGGGTTAAGGGAGAGGGATGACAGGAGATAAGGCTGGAGGGCTTTGTGAGTTATGTTAAGATACTCAAAATTATGTTAAGCTCACAGAAACATAACTCTCTTCCCCTAGGAGCCATGACTCAGTATTCATTAAGTCAGTTTTTATAGTGACTTTAGAGAACATAACTACTATGAACAACAAGAACTGACTGTATCTGGGGATATTGATGATAATGACCTCCTCTGCAGTGGACATGTTTAGTGTGTGTGAGTTCCAAATGCTAAGTGTTTGGGAGCGGGTGTATTTGGGTCCACAGCTCAGGGGAAAGAGCTAGGCTAACGATAATGGGTTGCAGAACCATTAGCACAGAGACGGTAACTGGAGACCAGGAGAAAATGACTTCTAAGGAATATCTGTAGAATGAAAGTACAAAAGGACCTAACACAAAACTGCAAGTGACACCAACAATTAAGAAATGCCTGGCTCCTTCTTGTAATTACAATATAACTTTAAATGCTGACTACTTAGAGATTTTTTGACTACAAAATTTAAAATGGAAAGTCATGCCTAATACATAACCCTCTTTTAATTATTTGCTTAGAACATATCTCTGTCTGACATTATGTTGTTTTTTTGTTTATCCCATTTCATTTGGATGCAAGCTCCATGGGAACAAGTTTATTGTTTGTCTTATTTATTGCTGTGTCCCCAGCCCCTAGGACAATGCCTGGCATATAAATGGCATTCAATATACATTTCTTTGAACAAATGATCGAAAGTGTGAATAAAATATTAATCAGTATTTTAAGACTTCATTTTCATATTTACACTTTATCAGCTATTGCAATGGTCATTTCTTTTTCATTATTCCTACTTATCCTGCTGGTTTTCAATCTCCAATTATTCTTTTTTTAATTAATTAATTAATTTATTTTTCCAAATATATTTGTCTCTGCCTTCCCCCCACCACTTTCCCCTGCCCCCTCTCCCCTCTCCCTCCCTCAATCCTTCCCCACTTTGGTTTTGTCCAATTATTCTTTTAAAAAATTTTGTTCTGCTTCATAGAGATCATGATTTCTTCACACCAAATAATTTTCTAAAATTTCCTTTTGGTTCTTACAGAAAATGATTTTTAGAGGGATGTTTCCTCTGAACTTTTAGCATGATGTTCCATGTCCCATTGTATTCTGTATGATTTTTCTTTTTCTTTTATTTTTTAAATCTATTTATTCTTAGAAAGAGGGGAAAGCAGAGAGAAAGAGAGGGAGAGAAACATCAATGCGCAAGAGATACATTGGTTGCTTGCCTCTTCCATGCCCTCAACTGGGGACCTGGCCCACAACCCAGGCATGTGCCCCGACTGGGAATCAAACCAGCTACCCTTCAGTTCTCAGGCTGGCACTCAATGCACGGAGCCACACCAGCAAGGGCAAGATTTTTCATATCTCAGATTTTGTTTTGTATTATTTCATTTTCCCAATTGCCCTATTTTGAACAGGAGCATTTTCTGAACTAATACTTTCTTCCAGGTTTGGTTCGCCATTTGTCTTTTGCCCACTCACCATTCATCTGGCTATAGAGCTAATATCCTTATGGAAGTGGCAATTTACAGCAGGTTCATGTGCACAGGTCCAAACCTGTTTCAAAGACAATCCACAAACTGATTCTAGTGTCTAGTA